CCCCCTCCCCCACTCCCGTTTTCTTCAGATTCTAATCTGGTCATCGCAATATAATGTAACCACATTATACTAGCCACATTATACTACCACTTCTACGCTGTCTTTACAACCTTTGAATTTGTTAGACGAAAGAAGTCAGAAGCGTTTGGCTGCAAACTTTGTGACCCTATGAAAACATTATCTCCCATGAATGCATTCAACGCTTATTTGCCTGAAACGTTAGACATAAATCAGAGCAGTTTGTCCCTTTCAGAAAACATGACACTCCCTTTTTTATCTTGAGCCCAGGGCAAACGTTATGCTCCCATTTTGGCGTGAACTGAGGAGTGTATGGAACTATTGAAGGTAGAGATAAAGGAATCATTTTCCTGAACGAAATCGTCTTACGTTCACATATATGGTGCTGGCCACGTCAAAAATGTGTCGTAAAAATCAAGCTCTGTTGGAGTCAGATTGATTTGTTAGATCACATTGCCCATATCGAGATTGTCAAGACAGAAACTGAGCCCAACTCGAAGTAAAATTACAAAAGTAAAATAGTTTTCTCTCTCGAAGTAAATGCAGTTCAGTGCACTGCTGCCAAAATACCTAATATTTTGATTAAGCCAATTTCTTCTATTTAGTTTAATACTCTAAACTGGCGTGGGCAGGCCAGGTTAAGTTCAGAAAATGCAAATTAAAAAAAGAAAAAAAAAGTTCAGTTAAAACTGAACTAGTTTGACTTGATATGTGCCAGTCGACTTGTAAAAAGTTCGATCAGAGAAATTAAATGTTGGTAAAAAATAAGCTTGGAGTAGGTATACGTTTTGATAATACAATAACTTGTTCAGTTAATCAATGAGCTTGCTTGACTTCATAGTGTGTAATATGCAAATGCACGTGTCACTGAAAGGTTTTCTTATCAGTTGCTGCATATCCATCTTGGCAAATGGAAGAAAGAAGGGGTGAATCAAGTTATTACTTAAAGCCTTAATTCGGAACTTACTCATACTTGGCTTATTATGCACATCCCCCAGTGTCTCCACCCTTCGTAGAGCCAACTGTGGGTGGCCATGATATCATATGAGAAAAAAGTGAGGGGGGGGGGGGCTTATTTCAACAAAAGAATACCAAAGGAGAAAATCTGACAGCAATGGAAAGGAAGACTGTCAAACAAGAGAACACGAGAGCCTACTTGAAGATGGAAGGAATAATAAAAAGGAAGAGAGAATACAGACCATCTCTTTGTGGTTGGAAAGGGGACTCATTCGTGTGAAGAAAAGAAATAAAATAATGGTTACATTCTTTTCTTTTGCTTGTAGGCTACTATTTCCCGCACAAAAGAATCCGTTGAATTGCTGGACATACAATGGGCGACAACTCCGTCAACAGATCCCTGACAAGCCGAGTTTGTCCAGGGTGGTTGAACGTGAAATAGGCTAGTGTGCTCGTCTCTTCGTCGTGCCTTCTGTTCTGCCTTGAGAAGTTCTGAAAAGCGTGATGTCTTCAGGATTCTCCGTGGTTATTTTCTGCTATATTATAGTGTAAAATGTAAAGCATATTTTCTTTGCTCCGTTACTTGTTCTCATACAGTCGAGATCGTTCAAGACAGCCACCCATTATGATTGTCGAGGGAGAAAAGCTTTTTTTTAACAGCTGGGCACCTTGGATAGTATCATTTAAATTTGAAAACATAAAACGCAAAAGAGGGGGGAGGGTGGTCGTTTGTACAGGTGATTGTCTCTGACAGGTGGTCGTTAGAGCAGGTTCAACTGCACAGACAGACAGACAGACAGACAGACAGACAGACCGACATACAGACAGACTGACTGACAGACAGACAGACAGACAGACAGACAGACAGACAGACAGACAGACAGACAGACAGACAGACAGACAATGAGGTGGGGGGAGGGGGATGGATGGAGGTGACAGCGCTGAAAAATATTTAAGGCAAATATATGGAGCATAGCATTCTTCTATCAAAAGATGAACTTTGAGATGAGGCAAATGTTTTAACGCTTTTGCGAGTTCGTAGATTTGTCAAGGGTCATTAAGAATCAAGACATCGTATTTCGATAAAATGAATACGGTCGGAATAAAACTATTATAATCGTAACGGTACGAGTGTAGGTTAGTTGATAAAATACCACGCAGCGCACTTGTATTGTATCGTTCAAGCTTTCAACATGATGCTGGCTTGGGACTTTCGGCCCAGAAGAAATGCTACGCTTGTGAGCTGTTTCATTTGCACTAACGAATGTTTTGCAAATTTTATCTGTTTGTCCGAACTTTTAAACCATGTCTCATCACCCACGAGCACATGTCTTTACAGGACCGAATTCTTTTTTTTAATGCATCAATTTTGTGTACTTGTTTTATTCTTTAGTGTGTGTGTGTGTTTGTGTGTGTGTGTGTGTGTGTGTGTGTGTGTGTGTATGTGTGTGTGTGTGTGTGTGTGTGTGTGTGTATGTGTGCGTGTGTACGTATACGCGTGTTTGTCTGTTTTACACTCTTTTCGATTTGTTCCTTGACGTGAATCGATTTTCAAAATCTTGTTTTTTAGACAGGATGGAATAAACCCGTCCTGGCCCTCCCCTCCCTCT